ATTTAGTTTAGTTTATTTATATAGTTGATGGTACAATGTTCTAATATTCAGTGAGGGCCCTGTAACACATTTTAGACAACTAGAGCCGATCATTAAAAGTTTTACATCTACGATGAAGATGGAATAAAAAATAAATCAACTGGAAGTCTCTTAGGTGTATATATACTATAACTCACAGTTAATTTAATTAACATTTAGGTGAAAGATATGGCAAAGTTGTTTAAGATTCAGAAAGTGTTCAAATGTAAAAAAACTATTTGGTTAGGTTTGTTTTTTTTGTACATGCTGTCATAGTATGGTTATGACAGTAAAATGGTTTTAAACCAATAGTAATGTACTTTGTTTATTTATGTTTGAAGTGTCTAATGAAAATAAACAGTTTAAGTTAGTTATAAGGATTTTTAAGGATATTTATTAGTACTTGTATCGGTACTTGGTATCGGCAAGTACTGTAATGTAAGTACTTGTACTCGTACTCGGTTTTCAAAAATCTGGTATTGGTGCATCCCTAATCCTAACTTTAGTGTTTTGTGGCTATTGTGTGTTTTGTTGTGACTTGTGGGTTAGCAGTACTTTGGTTAAATGCCTTTAGCATTGTAATGATTACCAGCAGGTTATTTGCTTGCAAGGGGCAAGATAATCTTTTGTGTGAAGCTTTAATGGCTTGATGGGTGGAGCTTTTGCCCACTTGTGTGGTATTGCAGCCATTTTGTGTCACAAGCCACTTTGTCAGCCTTGGGCTGTTGGATCCATTTAGTGTAGTTGGTTTTGTGTTGAGCCCCATTTGTGTTGATTTAACGTTGCTTTTGAAAGATGGCAACAGATGATGATTTTCTGAAAGAGCCTAGCAAAGAGCAGCTTGAAGGTTTTACAAAGGAACAACTCCTTCAGTTAGCATCTTGCTATGAAATTGAGCTCTCTACTGAGGATAAAAAGTTAAAACAGACTACAAAATTTGTCATTATACAAGAACTTGTTGCAAAGGGCATTTTTGTCAACTTCACTACCAGAGGTTGAATTTGTAATGCCTAAATTACCTGTGATGTCTGAGGCAGCTGTTGAGTTAAGGCATAAGGAGTTGGCATTAAAGGAGAAGGAGATGAAAAGAGAATTTGCGTTGAAAGTAAATGAAATTATGTTGAAACATGAACGTTTCATGAGAGAGTTAGAGATGAAGCAAGTCTCTTTAACAACAAAGCCTGAGTTTGATGTAGCTGATGAGACTGGTTCCTCCTTTCCATGAAAAGGATGTTGAACGGTATTTTCCTCTTCTTGAACGTGTTGCTATCACTTCAAAATGGCCAAAACAATCTTGGACACTACTCTTACAGAGTGTTCTTGTTGGCAAAGCTCAGGAAGCTTATTCTTCTCTGAGTATTGAACAAAGTTTAGATTATGACTTGGTAAAAAAAGAAATTCTGAAAGCATATGAGTTGGTTCCAGAAGCCTACCGGCAACAGTTTAGGAGTTGTACAAAGCCAGAACAGCAAACCTATATGGAATTTGCAAAACAGAAGACAACTCTGTTTTACCGGTGGTGCTTATCTAAAAACATAGAGTCCAAGGAACAACTTCGTCAGCTCATGTTGCTTGAAGAATTTAAGAGCTGTATACCAGAGGCAGTGTGTGTTTATCTAAATGAATGTGAGGTGAAAACCCTGGATGAATCTGCCATTCTTGCTAATGAGTTTGTCCTCACTCAAAACCTGTTTTGGAGAAGAAACCAGAGGTAGAGGTGTGCTCCATAAGTTGCAACCATCCAGTCGAAGCTTTGTGCCATTGTCAGGTTCCAGAAGGTCTAATTCTGATTCTTTATCAGAGAGGCTGTGTTTCTCTTGTAAGAAATCTGGACATCTTGTTGCTGTCTGTCCCACTTTAAAAGGGAAATAAGGCCTGCTAAACCAATTGTTTTTTTGAAGTCTGTTAAAGACAAAAATATTGTGCCACCAGGTGCTGCTGTTCCTAACAGAGTTGGTTGGTTCTTCATTCTTTTAACTGATGGTTCAGTATCTCTAGTCTCTGACTGTGGAACTACTTGCCCTATTAATATGGCGAGATACTAGAGCTTTTCAGTCAGTAATGCTTAAAGATGCACTTCCTTTTAATGAAGACTCATTTTTGGGTACATTTGCTTTAGTGAAAGGGTTTGGTGTGGGATTTCTAAATTTACCCTTGCACAAAGTTCATCTAGAAACTGACTTGGTTTCAGGTGAGGTGGTTGTTGCTCTCTCTTCACAACTTCCCTATGATGGTATCTTATTGCTTCTTGGAAATGATCTAGCTGTGGTAAAGTTTTTGTTACTCCAAAAGTAACATCTGAACCACAAATAGTTTCTACTCCTGATGAGTTGGAGGTGACCCATCCAGATGTTTTTCCTGTTTGTGCTGTTACCCGTGCCATGTCCAGAAAAGTGAAAGATAAGATAAAGACACCAGAGTCTTGTGATGTAAATCTTTCTGATACTTTTATGGCTGGAGGTAACTTTGATCTGCCTGGATTTGGTAAAAACACGCCCACACATGATCAGCTGGTGTCAGAGCAAAAGTCTGATCCTACTGTGATTACTCTTTATGAAGAGGCTAAATCAGAGGATGCCATTGCTGAAAAAACTTGTGGTTATTTCCTAAGTAATGGAGTATTGATGAGAAGGTGGACTCCGTTTAACATGTCCAGTGAGGATGACTGGAGCAGTGTATTTCAAATTGTGGTTCCATCATGTTTTAGAAATGAAATACTGCACTTGGCTCATGACCATTGTCTTTCTGGTCATCTTGGAGTCAGGAACTTGGGATCGTGTGGTGAGACACTTCTACTGGCCTGGTATAAAGTCAGATGTATCACAGTACTGTAGAATGTGTCATGTGTGCCAAGTAGTTGGCAAACCAAATCAGAAGATTCTTGTTGCTCCTCTTTATCCAATTCCTGCCATTGGGGAGCCATTTGAACGTGTATTGATTGATTGTGTTGGACCTCTCCCACGTTGAAAGTCAGGTAACCAATATCTTCTGACCATCATGTGTACAGCAACCAGATTTCTTGAAGCTATTCCTTTGAGAAAAGTTACAGCATCAACCATTTCTAAAGCTTTAGTTAATTTCTTTACAGTATTCGGCCTGCCGAAGATGGTTCAGTCAGATCAGGGCTCAAATTTCATGAGCCATACCTTTTCACAGGTTATCTAGCAGTTGTCAATCCAACATTGTACCTCATTAGCATACCATCCTGAATCTCAAGGTGCATTAGAGAGATTCCATCAAACTCTCAAAAACATGTTGCGGGCTTACTGCCTAGAGTTTGAGAGGGACTGGGATGAGGGGATTCCTCCGTTGCTTTTTGCATTCAGAGAGGTAACTCAGGAGTCCACAGGTTTTAGTCCAGCAGAACTTGTTTTTGGTCATACTGTAAGAGGCCCTTTGAAACTCCTTAAAGAAAAATGGTTGTCTTGTGAGTCCACTCCTGTGTCTAATCTGTTATACTGTATTTTGTGAGTGAGTTTAGGTTTAAACTTACAACAGCTTGTGAGCTTGCAAAAGAAAACTTGTGTGCAGCTCAAAGAAAAATGAAGAGTTGGTA